CCTTTTGAGTTGAACCAACACTTCTCAATGGTATGGCCGGTTTTCCAGCATATGGCGCAACGATCCTTCTCCTGTTGACCTTTGCCACCTTTGTTGTTGTGGCTGTCTTTCCCTTTTCCTTTGGCCTCTTTTCCTTTGCCCTTCTTATTATCCTTTCCCTTGCCATCTTTTCCTTTCCCCTTTCCTTTGCCATCACCAACAAGGCTGATGTCCATGGCATCTGGATCTCTTGTGCGTGCGGCGGCTCCCGCATACGCGGCTGATGGCCTCCAAACCTGCTTTGCTTGCAGATAGGACACCACCACCTCACGCACAGACTGATACGTGGAAAGGGTTCCAATGTGCATGGAAAGGTGTTGCTTCAGGGCGGTTGGCGCCTCAGTAAGGACTACAGCTCTTTTGTCTTCGTCACTGATGGCCTTACTGGGACCATATTCGGCCTCATATTTGTCAAGGTCAGCTTCCCACTCTTGGAGTGCCGCTGAAAACTCTGCTTCCTTTGCAGGAAACTTGGGACTGAGCAACGAGCGCCGCCAGATCAAACTCTTGGAGTGATTGTCTGGGGCCATTTCACGCCACAACAGTCTCCAAAACTCAAAACCATTTTGGTCTCGAATGCCACGGGCAATCTTACTTGCCACTGCCAATTCTTGAGTCCACGAGTTCAGCATTGCAAACAATTGCCTCCCTCGGGATTTGGCTTCGTCAGTCATATCGACTGGATCCACAAAACTGGTGAGCTTGCGTGCATTGTCCAAGTCTGCTGGAAAGTTTTCGTCCAGCAAAGCCAAGTATGTTTCTACTTGGAAACTGAACCGTTCCCATTGGTCTCGATCCTTTAAGGATTGAGGCTGTTTCACAGACTTGAGCACGTCAATATGATTGACCGGCTTACTGCTTCTGGCGGGTGTTCCCGCGCTCTGGAGCGGGGGAACTTGCCCTTGGGCGACGCCTACGTTCGCGGTCTGCTGCAAGGATTGCTGCAATAGTGCCATGACGCCTGTCAGGCGCTGGTCCAGATCTTGCTTTTCCTGCTGCAGCTGGGCGTTCTGTTGCGCCTGGCTCTGATGGGCGATATTCAGCGCTTGCATCTGACTCGCTAGAGCATCCATCCGCAGCTGCATTTCGCCGATGACCTGTTGTGGGTCTGTCTTCGCGTTCTTCTTCGGGCCTTTCGTCCACGACCTCAGTGGGCAATGGAGGCTTCGGTTGTTGGCTTGATTGGCTCTTATTTCTCCACAAAACCAGGATCAGTTGAGACTAAGTCAGCACTGGTGGTGGAAGTTTCAAATGTTAATTTGCAATCCATATAATTATATTAAATTATATGGTGTACCGTTGTGATGCAAGGTAAGCAGTATTCATGTAAATGTACCATTTACATAAATTAAACTTACTACAAAAAACGCAGTTGCCGACGCTTCGAAAAAGAGAACACAGGCGCACAACACTCGGACTTTATATTGATTTCCTTTTTGCTTCCAGTAATTGCACAGTCGGGGGTAAATCCAAGGCCGGTCGTGGTTCCAGCTGATCTTGTTGTAGGTGCATTGGATGGGTCATGATTCCATCATTGTCGAACGTTGACACGAGGTGACATGATGCCAAGTGTCAGAGCACCCGATAATTCCCATTTCCTCAATTTTTTGGGTGGGAGTGAAAAACGGGGTGGGTGAAAAAATTGCCCCTTGTTTTAAAGGGACTCCCGCCCTCCCACCACTTGATAGGGAAAAGTCACAGCATTACAAATGACGATGTGACGTGTGAATGATGTGGTGTTTCCAATGGAATTGATGAATACCACATCGAAAATTCAGAAATAGAAATGGGAAGTTGCACGCCAAAATTGTTTGCTTCTAGATTTGGTTGGACGTTTCAACGCTTCGCAAACGTTTGTTTACCACCACTCAGAGAGATTCCTGTTGATCCTTATTTGTGAGGGTTCACAAATTTTTGTTTGGAGAAATAATGCTTTCATCTTTTTTCAAAAGAGTGACATCTTATTTCTCCACAAAACCAGGATCAGTTGAGACTAAGTCAGCACTGGTGGTGGAAGTTTCAAATGTTAATTTGCAATCCATATAATTATATTAAATTATATGGTGTACCGTTGTGATGCAAGGTAAGCAGTATTCATGTAAATGTACCATTTACATAAATAAAACTTACTACAAAAAACGCAGTTGCCGACGCTTCGAAAAAGAGAACACAGGCGCACAACACTCGGACTTTATATTGATTTCCTTTTTGCTTCCAGTAATTGCACAGTCGGGGGTAAATCCAAGGCCGGTCGTGGTTCCAGCTGATCTTGTTGTAGGTGCATTGGATGGGTCATGATTCCATCATTGTCGAACGTTGACACGAGGTGACATGATGCCAAGTGTCAGAGCACCCGATAATTCCCCTCTGTGACCAGTGCTCTGGCAGGAACACTCTGCAAGCGCTCGAACGTGCTTGCTGCTTAGGCCGAGGTTTTCCGAAGCACGCCCCAAGGTTGTCCTCATATAGTTTTGGCATGCGATTTCCTGGATTACGGAGGGGAGTGGCCGAACCGACTCAGACCCGTCAATGCCACGTGGACACGTCAGATAAGGTCCAACGAGACTGTTGGTCCGCCGAATCGCCTCGGTTGGCAAGTCCTCCACGTCGGTCTGAATAACTGCATTTGCATGAAAAACAAAGCGCTCTCGCAAAAATTGCACCCAGGGAGGTCAATGATCTCAAAGAATAAAAAATGACCTTGATGTACTGCTGTCCGGAAAATATGGTATCGTGTTGTCCTGTAAAAACTCAACGACTCTGACGCAACGTGCCTTGATCGGATTGATGAATGTATGGAAAAACTAAACCGGTTGAGCCACTTTGCTTCGCAATATAGATTTGCAGCGTACAGCTGAAAGATCGTTCCCTTCACGGAAGGGTCCTTCAGGCGTAGGGTGCAAACAAAGCTTCGTCGCGCCTTTCGAGTCCATCACCAGGTTTGGACACCGCAGGGGCAGAGGAAACTCCCACATCCGTAGCAAGCATCCTGAAGAAGATGGTCCAAAGTGGGGTTCCTCATCTAGTCCCCGCCCGATGCAATGGTAAAACCGAATAACAGGAAGACGCCGATCACACGTAGTCCACTGAATCGTGTCTCAACCAAAATTGCAACAAAAAAATTAAAGGCCCTCGCTTCCTTGACCTGGTAGTGCTGTGGGGTTTGCCCGTCAGGGGTCAGCCCCAAGCTCGCTGCAATGTGAAGCTGCCACTCATCGGAGCGGCGTTGCAGAGCAAGAGTTTCCCTCAAATCAAGGGCAGCCCTTTTGTTCAGCGAGTGCCCTGTGCCCTTTCCATGTTTTCCAACCTGGTGCGAAGACCGTTCACCTCGTCAGAAAGTTGTTGAATTCGACGGTCTTGCTGGGCTCGGTCCGTCTCGCAACTGTCAAAAAATTCCCAGGCGGAAATGTGCCTGATGAAGAATACCTTGTAGTCCTTCGTCTCGTCCTTGTCAATGCTCTTCACATGGCCGGATTTCAGGCCTTCTTCGATAGCTCCTGCCAAATCTTCTGACCAGATCTGTATCGACATCTTCAAAGGAAGGTCACCCATCTTCGTGGCCATTGGGAGTGGTTTTCTCGATTGAAAAGAGTAAACTCGAACCTCACTCGATCTCCTGTTTGATATCCTGGCGAGGAAATGCGACAATTGGAGTCCGTCCTCGGCCACGACCCTGAAACCTGAGTGTCTGCGGGGTGTGGGTTCCGAGTCTTCGCTATCAACGTCCAGGTTTTCCCTGGGCGTCAGCATGGCTGTACGGCTTCCTCGAGCCTGGTCCTGACCTTCGCCACATTTAGAGCTGTGAGCCCACGATTTAGTAGGAGAGAAAAGGGTGATGGTGCCAAACATTACCCCAGAGCCACTCCGGAATGCAGAAAGGAGTTGCAGGTATCACTGAAGACAATGCGTCAGTGATCTCTGCAGGGCCATATGCATCTCAAGTTGGTGGTCAAAGTGTAATCACCCTTCCATCCACGACCACTTCCAACAAAGGGAAGAACGTTGGAATGATCGGGGAACACCGACTTCTCATGGTCAAGGCCACCAGCAGCGGGCAACACCGCCATGTTTCACCAAAGGCCATTTTGGCCATACCAGAAGGTGGAGAAATCTCTACTGGCAATGCCATTTTGGCAAAGGAATCTCTTGTATCCAAGTTGGAAGCAATTTTTGCCTATCGAGACAAACCTGGATGGCACGACCCTGATCCCAACACCAAGGTGTTTGTGGTGAAAGGCAAGAATGGTGCCACACGAAAGTATGCAACACCAGGGTCGCAGTATCCTGGCTACACGTTTAGGTCAACGTGGCAGTGGAATGAAGAGTCCAACGCCTGGGATTGCAAGGAGTTCAGAAAGAAATGGAAGCTCCTGCATGAGCCACACGAAACGTTTCAAGGTACCAGGGTATGGGCACTTCAAGTTTTCCAAAGAAGTGACACTGCACGAGTGACCAAGGCTCCCAGACCCAGTGTCCACTTTGAAAGTGACAACTGCTACATCCAATGGGCAGATGGCAGGAAAGCCACGTTTGCCAGGCAGGGCAAACAGTTTCTCCTTCCGTTTGAAGAGTTGGAGCAACCTACCACCAGATATGGCAAGGTGGCAGCCATCGATGAAGATGCAATGGCAGTTGAAGCCTATGCCATGCAAGAGGATGAAGAAGCCGAGGCAGTGCAAGAATATGCCAGGCGTGAAGAAGAAGTGAGAAAGGCCAAGGAGCTTCTGGAACAAGACCCCGTTCTCTTGGCAGACCTGGAGGAGGAAGCGGAAGCCCCGCCACCTGTGGAGCCAGAGGGGTTGTCAGAACCTATAAGCCCCACTGAGGCGCAGGTGGAATCCCACCGCCTTACACACCTACCGTTTCAACCATGGTGTGAAGAGTGCGTGTCGGGTAAGGCCAAACAAGATTGGCATAGGAGGGATCAATCCTCAGCGCGTGAGGGAACAGGGTTGATCCAAATGGATTACTTCTTTCTCTCTCCTGAGAAGGAGGAAGAGGTTGAAGATGAGTCAAGGCTGGTCACAATCCTGTGTCTGACTGACACGGTGACAGGTTGGCCGCTGGCACTTCAACTTCCCAACAAGTCAACCGAGATAGCCCAGTCCAGGTACTGTCTGCAAAATGTGGACCTCTACCTCAAGAACCTTGGGTACAGCAAAGTCATTCTGCAGCATGATGGCGAGCCCTCAATCAGAGCACTGGCTGAGTCAATCCAAAGACATGTTGGGTCCAGCCGAGCCTCTGTGCGGGAGTCTCCGCCCAAGCAGCACCAATCACAAGGAGCTGTGGAATCCATGAATGGGTTTGTAGCAAGCCAAATCCGAGCTTTGTGGCTCGACGTCAGGAAGCGGTATCCTTCCTTGGACGTGTCCAGCAACTTGACACCGTGGCTTGTGCGCCACGAGGCATGGCTGATAGCACGTTTCCATGTGAGAGGAAAAGATGGGCTCACGCCCTACCGCCTGACAACTGGCAGCGACTACTCACACCCAGTCGCCATGCTAGGCGAAGTAGTTCTTGGTAAAGTACCGACCCCGAGGGGCAAGATGCAGCGAAGGTAGATCAAAGGCATATGGCTAGGTAAGCTGGACAGAGACGACAGCAATGTGCTTGGCACGTCGTCTGGGGCAATCGCCGTGAGATCGGTGAGAAGACTGCCAAAGGAATCGCAGATCAGTCAAGAGCTGATGAACAACATGAAAGGAATTCCTTGGCAACCCCGGGACGGGATGAGGCACAAGATCAACAGAGAGCTGTCACAGCCAGTGGCACTCCCAGCGCCAGCCGCAGCGGGTCCCACCGCGCTGGCGTCAGAACCCCCGGAGGAAGAACATCCGACACTGGCAGAAGATGGTCAAAACATTGACCAGGCTTCAGCTTGTCCGGGTGCAAGCGCTGCCTGATCATCCCTTATACTCGCTTCCCTCCTTGACCAAGTCCGCTCGGACTCATCGGTTCGTCCGGGAGGCTCTGAAGCGACGATGACCATCCCGCACCTCGGAAGGGCGGAGGCTGCCCGCTCGGCCTTGCTGCCGGCGGAGGATCTGCAGCTTCAGATCTTGCTGGCGTGGTGGGTACGCAGCTTAGCGCGTCGTCGTCGTCCGCGGGGATACCCGCTGGGAAGTCCTCGGCTTGGTCGCCAAGCCAAGCAGTCCAGGCAAGCAGGTGTCTTGCAGCATTTAGCAAATCACGAGATCTGGTCCCATATCCAAGAATGGGCCAGCTCCGAAGACAAGAGCAATCCAATGGCTTTGCAAAGGATAGCCAATGTGACGGATTTCGTCGACCAATTGCTCGACCCAGAGGAGGTCACCAAAGCGCGAAAAGTCCAACTTCAAAAGCTTTGGGAGCGAGGTGCCTTCACACCCGTGCACCGTCAAGAAATCCCAAAAGGTTCACAAATCTTCTCACACAAATGGGTTGACAAGTGTTCCAAAGGAGCATACAAGTCGCGTTTCACATGCGCTGACGTCAAGGCTCGCTACACAGCAGCCGAGGAGGAGGGATTGGACGTGTTCGTTCCAACTCCGACCCCAGAAGCGCACAATCTTCTGGAGGTCTATGCTCTGACAAAGGGTTACTACGCCCGAAGTCTGGACATCGTCGCAGCCTTCTTGATTGGAGCTGACCGAGGAGCCAGCGAAGGGAAGCATGTCTACATGCGTGCACCAGTTGAGTGGCACGACATCTTCCTTGAGTGGCTAGAAACTCTCAGCCCCGAATTGAAGGATTGGTACAAGGATTCGTTCAAAGAACTTTTCTTCGGGTTGGATGGAAACCTATACGGCAGAAGGACAGCCGGATCCGTCTACAGAAATGAGTTGGAGGAAATCCTCTGCTCAAAGGTTGATCCACGGCGGTATTTTTTCTCTCGTGGTGAGAAGGATCCATGTGTCTTCCGTTGTGACAAGTCAGGGATCATCCTGATTCACCACATAGACGACATCCGTATGGCTGGACCAAAAGAGGCTGTCAACCACCTGGTTGAAGTCGAAATGCCGAAACACTGTGAGGTCCAAGCAGGAGAGCTCGAAAGCGAAGGAACAGCTGTTGAGTACCTGGGTCGCACCAAGGTACGAACCAAAGATGCTATCATCACGATACCAGATGAGAAGCACATCAGAGCTGTCATCGCTGCTGCGGGAATCTCCGCCAGAGACCGCAGTGAGGTTCCTGCCAAACAACTGAACCTCTTAGAAACGGAGCCTCTTGGCGAGGCAGATGCCAAGCTTTATCGCTCGGCAGTAGGATCAGCGATCTACCTGTCGCTGGACAGGAGGGAGATCCAGTACGCGGTGAAAGAAGCAGCGCGACACATGTCGCAACCGCGAAAATGTGACATGCAAGCCGTCAAGACCCTTGCGGCATACTTGCAATCGCACCCACATGTTGGCCGAGTCACAACCTGTGATCCCAACTGTAGCTCAGAGTGGCCATGCGAATTGTATAGCGATTCGGATTGGGCCGGATGCCTAGAAACACGGCGAAGCACCGACTGTTACATAGCAGCTGTGTGTGGTGCAATCGTCGCATGTGGCACACAGACCCAACCGGGCCTACCAGCGACAAGTTCGCCGGACGCAGAGCTCAGGGGAGTTTCGAGGGCAGCTCGGGAAGCCATCTTCCTCAAGGAGCTGATCACCCGAGATTTTGGCCAGCAGTGCGGTAAGCCCCGCCTATGGACGGACAGTTCATCGGCAATGCAAGCTTCCAAGCGCATTGGACCAGGTTCCAAGCTCAGACACCTAGAAGTCTGTGAGTTTTATGTGCAAGGAGCTTTGCAGTCCAAGCAGATAGCTTTGGGCAAGGTCAAGGGCACTGTGAATTGTGCCAACTTCCTCACCAAACACCCAAAGAGTGGAACGGAAGTAAGGCAAGCAATGCCTAGGCTGCCTGGTTTAGGCATGTATGAAGCTCGTGACGGAGAAGATATGCTCTCTTCGAGCAAGAAGATCTCTGTCAAGGTCTCAACCGTGACCAAGCAGCATGCGTGGAAGACTCCTACGCCAGCTTGTGTTGGTTGGATCAAAGACCAAGATCGAGCGGGAAGAACCGCCACGGCCTATCGGCAAAATGGACAACTGGTCGGGTGCATCAAGGCACTTGTTGTCCTGAGCCAAATTCAGGCAGTGGCAGGGCAGCCAACGTACTGCCTGTCCCCATACCAATGGTATGCATGCTTTTCTTGGCCGCAATCGGCACTTGTGTGCTGATATGGAAACTGGCAGAACAGTTCATCGCTTGTTGTGTGGACTGGTTATGTCCAATCGAGCCAGTAGCACAAGAAACAGGCCATGAGGTGCAATTGCACATCCAAGATCAGCAGATCACCTTGCGACTCAGGGTGACTGCCATTAGAAACAATCAGCAGCTAACGCTGACCAATCCAGCGCCAGTGGCAACCCCGCGGTCAGAGCCGGCGGCAAACCCGCGGACACCAGCGGTAGCCCCGCGGTCTCCTGAGGAACTTACTCCTCGAGGGATCGAGAGGTGGCACGAAGAACGTTGGGTCCAAGAAGCCGCAGAGGCCAGAATGACCATACAGGAGTTGATCGAATGGCGCAACCAAGAAGAGTCTCTCCTACGAGGAGAGCATCCCGACGGCATGTCGGACCTCCAGGACTCTGAGTCAAGTGAGTCCGAGGCGGCACCAGCCAGTGCGGGCAGCACCGCTGAACAGCGGGCAGCTCCGCCTGAGCGGGCAGATCCGCCGACCCGGGAGCGAAGCCGATGCAGCCAGCATCGAGCAGAGCGATCCGTTTGCCCACATGTCTCCAGCGGAACTCGAACAATGGAGACGGGCTGAAGACCGGTTCCTGGGGATGTAGGGACGTCTCACCAGTAGCGTCTCACTCCGACAAGTCCACTCTAAGGAGGGTGGCAACTTGCTAGGGGTAAAACACCTAGTTCAGAACTAAGTAGCTAGCTAGGAGTAGAGATGGCATGTCATGTAAGACACTTGACGTGACCGCAGCCCCTTTTAGCACATCCGTGCTACTCGAGGAAAAAGTGAGGTGACCGAGTCAACAGTACTGTGTTGTCACCACCTGTGTTTTTGAGCCCAATACGCACCCACCGTGTAACTTCGCTGTTTGCACTATTGCATCCGTTCATGAACTTGTGTCCCTGCTAGAGGCCGCTGTGCAAACACCTGAGAGCCTGGAGGGAAAAAACACACACATATATATATATAATATTATTAGAGGGATGGGATTGATGATAAACGGTAAGACCAATCGAAAAAATATGAACCAAAATGGTGGTATAGAAAATGATAAGATGGGTGATGTGACCTTTGGATATATGGCTAGTTCAAAATTTCGATACCCTGGTTTCACATTCAAACAGCTGGTAGTTCTGGAATTCAATGTTCCCCGCACCATTCATGGCCAAATTTCTTAGCTTTTGACCCTAATATGAAATGCTTCAAAACTGGGGGTGCTCTTGGGGACGTCTTGCGGAAAACATGGGGCTTGAAATAGATTTGAACCATTTTAGCACCAACAGAAGCAACTTGGGATGGGTAAACCCCCCAATAGCAGTGACTGAAGTTGTACTGCGGACACCAGTCCGAGCTGCGGATAGAAACATGAGGGACTAGGTCAACATGCACGATTTGGGACCTAAGAAACGAATAGATATATTGACGGACTGGAACTTAGAACCTGACTTTGGACATTTTCCATGCCCCGAAAAAGTACCCGGAACTACCCGCTCAGATTTGGGTAACATATTGATAAAACATATGATATTTTTACGTTTTGCGAAACTGTTCACCGTAATCAGAACTTAGAACCACTACGAAAAATGGTGCTCGGAGAGCCAAAAATGACTACCCTCTCGCAGTTTTTTACCCGAAAAGTACCCGTAAAACTAGCTGAGTAATATGATGTGTTGTTTGATGGATTGAACGAACGATTCTACCTAAAATCATCATTTTAAATGGGTGGTACATGTCACTGTAAAAAGCATCCCCAAATGATAGGTTTATTCTTGGGTTTGCCATGGTTTGCCACATGAATGTGCTTGTTTGCCACATATGCTTGTTCACATGAAATCCGATTGGTGGTTGAATCCCATTAATCCCCTCTCCCTATTACTAAACGTCCCCCAAATACTAAAAACAGGCTTCCATCTCCAATTTCTGAAAATTTCAGTTTGGCCAATTTGACTTTTAATTGATCCCCTTTAGAAAACAATTTAAAAATCAACCTACCATTTGTGGGTTTCCCCCCTAATTCTTCAAACTAGTCAACCCCGGGGTGTTTAGTATTAGGGGGAAGCTTCGAAATCCAATTTTTGGCAATATTTTAATTGCGTTATATACAGAAATTTATCACGAAAGGTAGCTCCAGAGGGGCTACCTTGAGTTTTACTTTACGAAGTAAAGGGGAGGGCGGCCAGCCCCGTTACCTGATTCTTCAGGAGATTGCTAGTCATTTTAGTACCCCCCCCCACCCCCTGTGATTTATTTTGTTTTACGTGTCTACACAATGCATTCATGCATGTTGACATGTACACTTAATTCATATCTTTCATGCGCACTCCGCATGGCTCAAGACTAGCAAAGCCGCGTAGAAAAGATTCGCAGTCTTGCCGCTGACCGCAGGTGTTTGTACATAATCCAGGGCTCCCCTAATAGAGGGATAGCTACCTCAAAGTGGTAGCGGAGCCTGTGCCTTCGCCAAGTCTAGATCCGTGTGCCGAACTGCCGTTCTCTGCATACATTCCGTATATCGGACTTGCGGAGGCAACCTGTAGGTCAAGTTGGAGTAGCTGCCATGGTCTTAATCCACAACATGGATTCAGATGAAGAACAACTCCAGATTGTCTCTTATGAAGAGCCTGAAGCATATGCCGCCACCAGTCATTCCGAAAACCGGATGGGCATCAAAATGACACCGAAGGTTCCACCCCAATTTGATGGCCAATCAAGCTGGTTTGAATATGAAGATTTAATTGATGACTGGTTAGGGATCACAACATTGGATGCAGATAAACACGGACCATCATTAAAGAATGCCCTCATTGGTTCCGCTTCTTTTTATAAGTCGATGCTCGATAATGCCCTACTCCGAGATCCGGATCGTGGCCTCGCTCATTTCAAGGACACATTGAGACCATACTTCGTGAAGGGAGTAAATCATGTGTTCCTTTGGCGATTCCTCCAGATGTTTCGCACATATCGAGGCCAGAGCGAATTCGTGCACTGGATAGGGCGATTTGAGATCGCGCAGAAGCGTTTGTTGGCTTCTTGGTCCGATCTGCTGGACATATCCGATCTTCCCGAGGCAGGCACTCAGGCATTTACGGCAGCACTCACAGATGAGCAAAGACTGCACTATAATGCAATAGTAACAGATGAAGATAAGCTAGCTTATCAACAAGAATTGAGAGAACAGACCATAACCAATAGAAGGACCAGACATGCACAGCAGTTTCCATTGTCAGACAATTTGATGTCACTGATTTTTCTAGTGCAAGCAGACCTCAACGAGCAACAACGAGAGCGTTTTGTCTCGTCCATGAACATCCGTCAGATCGCAATGCCTCAATATACCTATCTCCAAGTGAAACAGCTGTTCTTAGAACTTTTTGCCGTTTCTCGCACAGGTGTTGCAGACCCAAACATCACGCACCGCAAGCGGTCCAACTTCTACGTCATCGACGAGGGCGAGACCGAGGAAGGTGAGTACGGATTTTGGGTCTTTGATGAAGAGACGGGTGAAGAAGGTTTCACAGGTCTGTACACCGAGAACGAGTTCTGGGTTCTCAGCGCCAAGGGTTCATACTCTAAGCGCCGCATCTACGGCAGGTCCTTCAAGAAAGGTAGACCAAAAGGTTATGGCAAGAAAGGAGGAAAGAAATCAAGACCCGGCTTCCGCTCGAGGTCAAAAGGCAAAGGTTTTGCAGCATGGGAAGATGACCAGCAAGACACAGCTTTCTGGGGAAAAGGCAAGGGCAAAGGAAAAGTAAAAAGGGCAAGAAAGGAATGATGAAAGGAAAGGATTCTTTCAAAGGAATGCCTTCATGGAAAGGAAAAGGAAAAGGTGATGCGAAGAACAAAGGAGGAAACAATCCATTTTTGTCACAACCTCCACAAGCTAATGTAGCACAGGCTGCATCATCCAGTGCATCACAAGCCCCTGAAAAACAAGAAACAGCCCATGCCGAAGAAAGCTGGAGTTATGACTATGACACATACTGGACAGACGACTGGTCAGGTTATGAATCCTACTATGGATATGACGGAGATTACTCCCAAGGTGATTGGTACAATTGGTCGTATTTTGCTTCCGCTGAGGAACTGACCGAATCCGAGGACAAGCATTCAGACATCGATTTCGAGGACGGACAGACCGACAAGATCAACCGGTTCTGTTTTTCAGGCATCCGCTTGTTCCGATTGTTCGGACACGAACTTGTAGAGGCCTTCACATTCGTGCTTCTGTTCGTGTCTGTTATGTACCAGTGCTTTACTGATTTGAACAGGTCCCTATTGAAGAGCATCCGCCAAGATGAGAAGAGTGTTTCTACCGGAAACGGTGATCTGCATTCGTTTCAGCCGCGCACAAGCCCGCTCTATTCCATCTCAACGGAAGAGTGTGTATTTCTCAATTATGATCACGGTGCCCAACAAGCATTGCTTTGTGAATATGTAGATCTAGGTTCTCATCCGACTTATGTCATTCTTGACTCAGGTTGCACTCGAGCCATGGGATCCCGCTTTGCCATTGATCGCCTTGTACAGGCTTGCCAACAACATCCCAAGCGTGATCACATTTGGTTTTCTAAGCAACCGTGTTCAAGTAAGTTTTCATTTGCCAATGGAGAACAATCTACTGTCAAGGAAAGATTAGTGATTCATTTTCGCAATGATCGTGCACAAACTGGTTGGATCACCGCATGCGTTGACATCCTGGACAAAGGTAAGGTTCCTATCCTCTTTTCAGTTGAACAAATGAGGAATCTTCGCATGAACATTGAGCACACTCCTGTAGGTGAGTTCATGACTTGTCCACTGTTTGGAATGCAGCGCACCGCGTTAGCGGTCAGTACGTCCAACCATCCAGTCCTTGACATTATGGCTCTTGCTACTTCCAGTTGGAAACCGATGTATAGCTTTCAGTCCGAAGACATCACATGCCCAGCATGCAATGGTAAACATCGACCACACACCAACAAAGAAGGTTGCAAGAAATTCAAGGGATCAGAGCCTAAGCCTGCAGAGGTGCCGAAACCGGCCAAGCCTGATTCTAAGAAGATTGTCAAGAAAACAATTCAGCCTGATAGTAAGTTAGAAGTGCCAGCTCAACCTTTTGATCCCGATGAAGAGCCAATGGTGGCCTCTGGGCCAAGTTCCGGTTCAAAGGACGGCATCCCAAGACGTCGGGAACCTCAGATTGAAGAAGAATCCGAAGTCAAGCCGGAACCAAAGGTTGAACTAAAACTTGAAGAGAAAAAGGAACCGTCACCCAAGGGAACTTTGTCACTAGCACTTCAGAGAATTCATGATAAGCTTCAATCACCCACTGAACTTCTCAAGTTGCATTTGAAGCATTATCACATGACCACTGAACAATTCAAGAGAGGAACATCGGCTCTGAAGTTGCCAAAAGAAATCTATGACAAATTTGATCAGATTACAAAATCATGTGACACATGTTCCACTGCCAGGATTGCACCATCGAGAGCTAAGGTTTCAGGAATCCGAAGTGAAGTCTTTGGTGAACTTACCTTCATTGATCATGGAGAAGTTCCGATCAATCAACAGTCAAAACTTCAATTCCTACTTATGTATGACGG